AAATCCTGCATTACCCATGATAGGGAGTATACCATAATTCCCATAGTTTAGGGTGCTTGCGGTAATGCAGGATTTGTATCATCGACAGTTAGAGGCCTTAATGTTCAGAATGTGGCTTGGGGGGTATAGCTCCACAAGTACTACACGAGGATATGTTGCTAACTATTTCTGCCAGGTTCTGAGCCCACCGTCACGCTGGCCCGAACCTCGAACCCTCAGTAACTGCCGAGTAAGCCAAACTGTTCGGGGCTTAAGGTTCAATGCCCTAAAGCCTAAGCCCCAAACCCTAAACCCCTAAAGCCTAAACCCTTATATAAACTCTAAACCCCAAACCACAAGGTTTACAAAAGCTCGCGAACGAAGGACCCAGAACCTACCGTTTTAGGGTTAGGCTTTAAGAGTTTAGGGTTTGTGGAGGGTTGTTTATCCAACCATAGCTGCCTTGCTTGTGGAACACGTGGCCCTCGACTCAAGATGCAGAAAGCCACTGAAACCCTGAGCCCAACACCCTAAACCCCTAAACTCGAAACTCTGAACCAATCCCACACCAGAAACCCCAACACCTGGACCCTAAACCCGAAAACCCAAAACCCCCAAACTTAGCCAAACCAGAAGCCCGGAACCCTGCCCTACGGTTGATGGACAAAATCCTGCATGACCTTATACCTATGGGATTTATGGTACTATACTATAATTGGGTCATGCAGAATTTTGTCCATCAACCCTAAACCCTAAACCCTAAACCCAGTATGAATCCAAGTGGGAGAAGTGGGAGGTTACCTGGAGCTCGAGTCCCAGCTTCGCGAGTTCATGGCCGAAGTAGAGGCGAGGTTTAGGGTATTTAGGGTTCAGGGTTTTCAGGGTATTTTGGGGTTCAGGGTTGAGGGTTTAAGGTTTAGGGTTCAGGGCTTAGCGTTTAAGGTTTAGGGTTCAGGGTTTAGGGTTTGGGGCTCAGGGTTTAGGGTTTAGGCTCCTATGGTGATCTGGAGCGACTAGAAATAGAATCCGCCTGTCATCCATCCCTATGCAACTATATTATCATATGCCCCAAGACCCCAACCTCAGCCAAATTATTCAGACCCCTACATTGTAGGGGTGAAGTTGCAATGTTACCACTAGCTCTTTTGTCACTGTTCCTAGCTGCCCCATTGCTTCATAGCTAAGGATAAAGCTACTGTCCTGATGTTGATGCTGTTGTTGGCTGTTACTGAAACCCTAAACCCTAAACCCTAAACCCTGTTATCACTGCCATGGTCGTGATTGTTCAAAGCATCCAGCAGCCGCTTGCAGTGTCCCTGGTCTAGATGACCAGCGGCCGATTGCGAGCTGGACTCGATGTAGTCTACGCATAGGCCCTAAAGTAGTTCCTGTTTGGGTTT